AGAGAGAGAGAGAGAGAGAGAGAGAGAGAGAGAGAGAGAGAGAGAGAGAGAGAGAGAGAGAGAGAGAGAGAGAGAGAGAGATGCCACAATGCCGCGATTTCATAGTGGCGGACTGACAATTCATGCATGGGAAAGAAAAGAGAGGAGGAGGAAGGGGAGGGTGGCAGAAAGCAGAGAGGAGAAATTGGATTCCTCGCCACTTCTGGGATTCACGCAGGCAATAGATGAGTACACGGTCACGATTTATGCACTCAAGAGAGGAAGAGAGCGTGTGTGTGTGTGTGTGTGAGAGAGAGAGAGAGAGAGAACGTCGCAGTGTGAGTATGCAATCACACATACACAGGTAAGAGGGGCAAGATTGCAAATACTACCTGCCCGATAGCCAACTAGTAAACAGCAAGAGCTGTTAATCCACAAACTGAAGATCAAATCCATTCCTAAAATCTCTGGAGGAAGGACCCCTTTTTCAAAAAACAAAAAGGCATCTTTATCCAAAAAGGGCATAAAGGGAGTTCTGTCACTGCATAAGGGCCTAAGAGTTGCATTCTAGAGAAAGCAGACAAAGGGGAGGAGCAAGGTGAGAAAAGAGAGAAAGGAGAGAATGGGGAGCTAGGGGAGAAAGGGGAGTAAGGGGAGAAAAGGGTGGTAAGCCGCAGAAGATCCTCACACGTAAGAATTCCGGAAGAGGAACTCCATGCTTCGAGAAGTGAACCTTCTGCAGATACTTGTCCTGGTGCAGAGCAGCCAATTACAACATGCAAAACCACAGTGGATATAAGCATCCAGAGCGGAGCACATAACCAATAGCAGCGGCCAGGTACAGAACAGCAAATTGCCAATATCAGCGGAAACAGGTACCAAGCAAACTACTGATACCAACGGCAGCAGACGGAGACTAAATAAGCAATACCAAGAGCACATAGCCAATAGCAGCGGCCAGGTACAGAGCAGCAAATAGCCAGCAGCACCAGGTACCAAGCAAACAACCAATACCAGTGATAGAAGATTCAGTAGAAGATTCAGTAGAAGATTCAGTAGAAGATTCAGTAGAAGATACAGAATAAATAACCAATACCAGTGGCAGAACACACAGAATAAGGGCCTCGCTCCACTACTCACCACATGTGCAAAATGAGAATGAATCTTCCGCTAGAACATAAGAAGGTACACCGCCCCATTTTTTTTGTCTCTTGTGCATGTGGTGAGTAGTGTAAGCAGCATACTATTTACAATGAAATTAAAAATGAATAATTCATTAATACTCCAAAAAATAAAGACTCAATAGGGTTTTTGTGACAGTGTTTAAACTAAAGAAAGATTCTTACACTTTATTGGTATACTGTAAAACTAAATAAAAAAACATTTACATAACCAATACCAAAGGCACCAGCTGTAGAGTAGATGACCAGTTTCAACAGCTAAAGACAAGTATCTGATCAAAGCACACACAGACAAATCACCATAAACATGTGATGAGACTGCGTATAGACTTCACACGCACAACACATAGACCTCAGGAGATAAGACTGATAGTCAATCCTCTCCTCCTCACTGAGGAGCAATCCATGTTGTTCAGGCGCTCCTTCATGGAAAGAGAGGTCGGTAACGGCGCATCCGGCCCCCATAACGAAAGGAAGCGCCAGGGAGGGCCTTACATTGCAAGAGGGACATGCCGGTGGAACACGAACCGGATAGATGGTCCACAGAATAGAAAGGAGTCAAAGGACAACTGAACACAAGGTCTTGTCATTTAAAGAAAAGAGGAAAAAAAAAAAAAAAAGGTATGATGGCATCCTAAATTCCTAATACATGTCTGCCCATGGACTCGCAGTGCAAATTAACGGCAGCCAGTTCTGTAATAACATTATAAAACAGAAAAAGAAAATACTAATATGGCTTTTAGAAACTGTTCCTGTACGTGCTTTGGGACATCCATTAAAATTGGAACGATACAGAGAAAGAAGATTATGGCTTTTAGAAACTGTACCTGTACGTGCTTTGGGACATCCATTAAAATTGGAACGATACAGTGAAAGAAGATTAGCATGGCCCCTGCACATCCGAGGACGACACGGCATACATGAAGAGCGGATGATCCACATTATTAAAAAAAAAAAAAAACTGTACCTGTATCGTCCTGATGGTTGATGGTTTCGGTTCCACATCAACACCTTCGGCAGCTAATGCATCCAGACTATCGACATCAACATGTTCAATCTCGACCGTCAAAACATTACACCTGGATCACGCAGACCACCATCCAATAACCACAGCCATTAATAAGTTCTGTAGGACAGAAAAGTGACCACAACGACCGCTGAGCAAAACACCCCCAAGCGCATCATCCACTGCATTTTCAGACAGAGAAGATCAACACACACACACACACACACACATTTTCAGACAGAGAAGATCAACACCCACACCCCCCCCCCCCCCCMCACACACACACACACACACACACACACTGCTGTGTCAGACTAGTATCTCAGACTTGCTGCCATTCTTGTCAGGGGTTTGGACCGACAGTCTGCTAGGATTGCAGGGTTGGGGTGAGTGAAAAAGTCGACCACTTTTCTCTCTCAGCCTCTCAGGGGTATATAGCTAACTCCGGGTGATGTGGTGAGTCCTTATCCATCAGTCAAATGCATCCTGGGCAGACTGTCTGTCCAGGTTCAACCTCCTGATGAGTCGGTGAAAGTACGACGAAACAGTCTGTTCGGCACAGTCATGCTTTTTCTTTGTGGAGTTGTGTGTATAGCGAATATGACAACACACACACCTGTCTCTTATACACATCTAGATGTGTATAAGAGACAGGTCTGTTCGGCACAGTCATGCTTTTTCTTTGTGGAGTTGTGTGTATAGCGAATATGACAACACACTCACAGTGTCTGATGAGAACCTGATCTGTCAGGCTGTCAGTGCATTCCCTCTCAAGGTGGAGGCAGTCGAAGCCCCACCCAACAGAGACTGCGTGATGAGAAAACCTGACCTGTCAGTCTGCCAGGGCATTCCCTTTCGGGGTGGAGGCACTCGAAGCTCCAACAGCATTCATTCGTGTCGGCAGAACATTCACTGACGTGAAATCGCAAGTCACGTTCTCACTTCGGCACTGTAGACCAGGAACTGGGCATCCATCCAGATAGCAAGGACACCAGAGCGAAGTCCACCCACATAGCATTCACATAGCATCCACGTAGCATCCACATAGCATCCACATAATAGCATCCACATAGCATCCACATAATAGCATCCACATAATAGTATCCACATAATAGCATCCACATAATAGCATCCACATAATAGCACCCACATAGGATCAAACTGGGCTGCGTCCTGCTAGCGAGCATAGACTTCTGCAAAGTCCGAAGGGAAAAGAGTTGGATTGACTGGCAGGTAGGCATGGCGCTTTCATCTCACCCTGATGCAAATTGTCGCACTGCCTCTGTGTCTCTGAAGCTGCCCACGACGTGTCGGTACGCCAGCCCACTGGCTGGTGCATCTGGTGCAGGGTCTAAGACTGCAACCCGGATTGCCAACGGCGATGCAGCCTGCAGCAGCATTCGCCCCAGCTGCCCGCCACCTAACACCCCAACAACAGAATCGCAGACGCCCATGTCTGACGAGCACAGATCGGCACTGCAGGGAAGCATTATGTTTTGCCATGGAGTCCAAGAGAAACAAGTGGAGGGAAGAACCAGCCAAGGGAGGAAGGTAGAGGCACCAACAAAACAAGGAAAACAATCAGCAATAATGGCTGATGGTCTCAAAGAGACCCAGGGCAGGAAACACACCCAAGCAAGAAATGCACACACACACACACACACACACACACACACACACACACACACACACACACACACACACACACACACACAGGGTCTACGACTGCAACCAGGAAGGGAAGTTAACTATGCAGCGCCTGTGGGAATGGCCCTGTCAGAATGTACCTTGACATAAAGACAGCCAGGTGCATGATCTGGGTAGATATCCCAATGAGCAAAGTCATAGCTTCGTCGTCAGTCTGATACGGAGTACCAAAAAGAACTGAAGGTAATATAGTTGGCATTGCATTGTAGTAAGAAAAAAGTCGTCAGTTTTCTTAGAGTTCAGTTTTTTTAGAGTTTGTAGATCTCAATCCAAGCGTCAAACAAGAATGAATATCACACATAAAGAGTAAGAACTAGACTTCCTGTACTCCGAGAGGCAGAAGAAATGGAGGTGGAGGAGTTGGGGGAGATGGAGGTGAGGGTGAAAGAGGGGGACGTGAAGGGAAGTCGGAAGGTGGACGATGTGGAGGCACGGAGGAGGGGGAGGGGGAGGGGGCTGCATGGAGGCGGAAGCAAAGCAGGTAGGGGTAGGTGAGGTAGAGGTAAAGGAGGTTAGGGACGTGAAGGTGGGGAGGACAGAGGTGTAGGCGTAGGCGTAGGTGTAGGAGTAGGTGTAGGTGTAGGTGTAGGTATAGCAAGTGTAGGTGTAGGTGTAGGTGTAGGTGTAGGTGTAGGTGTAGGTGT